AGCCACTCTGGGTGCCTCACAACAGTTTATTAAAAACACGATAAAACATCAAACATTAAAAGCGTCCCTAAACAGGGCTGCCTTCAGATGTCTTCTAAAAGTCAGATAGTTGTTTATTTCCTTGACATCTGATGGGAGGACATTCTACAGGGCAGGCACCACTACCAAGAAGGCCCTCTGCCTGGCTCCCTGTAACCTCACATCTCGCAGTGAGGGAACCGCCAGAAGGCCCTCGGAGCTGGACCTCAGTGTTCGGGCTCAATGATGGGGGTGGAGACGCTCCTTCAGGTATACTGGGCCAAGGCCGTTTAGGGCTTTAAAGGTCAGCACCAACACTTTTAATTGTGCTCGGGTGGGGGTAAACTACAGGAGAGGACAGTGCTCTTGTCCTCAAATCCTGACTGCTGGTATCCCATAGGCATTTGGTTGGCCACTATGCAAGCAGGGTGCTGGACCAGATGGGCCCTTGGCCTGATCCAGAAGGGTCTTCTTACATTTTTACATTCTTATATAATGGGTTCATGGGATTCGGGTGACGCTGTGGTCTAAACCACTGAGCCTCTTGGGCCTGCCGATCAGAAGCTCGTCAGTTCGAATCCCTGCAACGGGGTGAATTCCCATTGCTCTGCCAACCTAGAAGCTCGAAAGCATGCCAGTGCAAGTAGATAAATAGGTACCGCTGTGGTGGGAAGGTAAACAGCATTTCCATGCTCTCTGGTTTCCGTCAGGTGTCCCATTGCACCAGAAGCGGTTTAGTCATGCTGGCCACATGACCCGGAAAGCTGTCTGCGGACAAACGTCAGCTCCCTCGGCCTGAAAGCAAGATGAGCGCCGCAACCCCAGAGTCTCCTTTGACTGGACTTAACCGTCCAGGGGTCCTTTACCTTTTTACCTTTAGAACTCTCTGACCTCTATGTGGCACGTCTGTCCTATACTACTGTATAATTGCTCTGCCCGTATAGCCTGCCCTACAAGTATTGGCCCGCTAGCAAATGCAGCCCCTTGGCTGAAAAAGGTTCCTCAACATCCCTGTCTTACAAGCACATCACTTCTTTTGGGAAAAATTTAGTGATCTTGGCATTGTTTTCCCCTCTGGTGTACAGCATCTGCAACTGCAGAGCCCTAATTGTATTGCGGAGCACCCTGCATGCCAACTGCCGGTGGGAGAGGATAATCAGCAAAGGTTCCTAATGCCAGCAGTGCTGGCATTAGGAATCATTTTAAGTGTTTTCTTATTTTTATTTATGCAAAAATTACTGGGTGGGGCTGATTGTATATAATTGCTCGCTTCAACGCTTTATTGCAAGCATACAAAAACAGAGGGTGGGTGTGGGGCATGGAATCCGTGCTTCCCTAATTTCCAGCTTTCAAGATTATATTCCACGGAGTCTATAGACCATTGCAGACCCATTGATAGTAACACTGGGGGGGGGGGACTTCTTAATAACAAAGCCATTTGTTTGATGGCACTCAGTCCTGCAGCTATTTCTTAAAGTGCAGTTACGCTATAGCCAGCTCCTCTGGGAGCAATTTATTAGGGCTATAAATACGCAGAAGGAAAATGGCTCTTTTATTTACTTTTCCGATAGTGTGCGTGAGCTTTGCCGTGCTAGAATTTGTAAGCTGATTTATAACAAAAAAAATTGAAAGCAGTAAAAGTAAAACCCCTTTTTTATTTCTTCACCTGTTTCTATCTCCCCTGCTTTCCAAGTTGCTCATTCAGATAGGCTTCGACACAAAAGAAGTCTGGAAAAAGAAGCCAAATATTTAGGCTGCAGTCGAGAACTTTCATTACAGGGTCACCCGCCGTAAGTACACAAGTACGTGAGTTGGTAGAAAACAGTGTTGTGCACACAACCTGAAGGCTACACATTATGCAAAATTGCAGGTGAGGAATCCATCCATGGACAGTTGCATGTGCATAATGCAACTGAGGACGCCACTCACCTAGGCAGCGCTAGACCCAGGTTTGAAGGGCCCCAACTCACCATCCTTGGTCCCCCCTCAGTTTACTTGTGGCTCTGTGGTCTAAACCACTGAGCCTCTTGGGCTTGCCGATTGGAAGGTCAGCGGCTTGAATCCCCACGACAGAGTGAGCTCCCATTGCTCTGTCCCAGCTCCTGCCAACCTAGCAATTCGAAAGCATGCCAGTGCAAGTAGATAAATAGGTACCGCTGTGGCAGGAAGGTAAACGGTGTTTCTGTGCGCTCTGGCTTCCATCACAGTGTTCCATTGTGCCAGAAGCAGTTTAGTCATGTTGGCCACATGACCTGGAAAGCTGTCTGTGGACAAATGCCAGCTCCCCAGCCTGAAAGAGAGATGAGCGCCGCAACCCCATAGTCACCTTTGACTGGACTTGACCGTCCAGGGGTCCTTTACCATACCTTTTACATTTTACTTGTGGGCATGTTGCATTTTGGGGCGGAAGCCCCACAAAAAGGGCGTCTTTGGGGGCTGCAATCTGACACAGGTTATGTGACTTGTGGGAGCCCCAGAAAGCAGCGTCCCGGTTTTTTCGCTTCAACGTGTTGGAGGGTATGGGATTGTCTCTGATGACCTTGCTCTTGTGGTGTCTGCCCTTGTTCCCCCATGTGGCCTCCCCTTTTCTCCCTTTCGAAAACTATAAATAGCAATGAGCAGCACTTCAGGGTTACAGCAACCATCCTCCTTGCCAATCCAAGTCAGCCTTCCCCAACCTGGTGCCCTCCAGATATTTGGGGCTACATGTTCCATCATCTTGACCTTGGCCAATGTGACTAGGGCTGATGAAAGTAGGAATCCAACAATAGGCATAGGGCACCAGGTTGATGAATTCTGGTCTAAGGGATTTAAATAACTGAATTGGGCCAGTGGTGTTTGCTGCGGGTACATTTAATACAGCAGAATACGGGACTACTGAGCCCTGCTGTGCTGCAAGGTGTGGGGGGTGGCGGCATCCTTTCCAAAGGAACTTGAGCTTCTGCCATATATTTTTTTCATCTCAGCAGGACAAGAGAGGGTAGTAAATACTTCAGTGCAGCCTGTCAGTGCCAGCTCCGAGTCAACTTCATCTCTTATTCCATAAAGCTGGAAGATAAATGTGTTACTGAACTGTATTAATAACTCTGTTGACTCCGACAGAGACACAAAGCACAATAGACTTTCACCTGTATCAGTGTTCATAAATAGCAACAGCAAGAAAAAAGCCTTTGGAGCTGTTGGGGCAGCGGGGGGTTGGGAAGTAAGATCCTTTGCCCTGACAAAAGCACCCCCAAGCGCCCATCCATTTCTGACCAGGACGTTCTCTGTTGGAGCACAACGTTGTATAGGGCACCATGGCTCCAACTCAAAGCATGTTTATCTGCTAGAAAACAGCAATGAGCATCACTTATTTATTATTGAACTTATTAGCTGCTTGCCACCCAAAGGGTCTTCAAACAGCTTGCGTTGGAACACAATAGGCATTAATACATTATACCATAGAAAAGGGGGCAGGCATATAACACATTAATATTTCATATTGGAAGATCTCTCCCCCCACAAAACCCCATCAGTTCCCTCCTCCCATAACAGTGGCAGAAAACATTGGCAGCACACTAACAATCATCAACCAATACTTTCACAAACTAGCAGATAAAAAACAAAAATTCAGCACGAACACCCCATTCCCTAGCCTCAACATCATTCAGGGGTTGTTGTTTTTTGCTTCCATCTCCCCACCCAGAAGTCTGGCATCAAGGCCAGCTGCTGTTCCTCCACAGATGGTCCAACATCTCCTGTGTTTTCAGAGAGAGCAGAAGCAGAGCAGGGAGATGGCAACCTATTCCTCCTCTCCAGCTGCTGTTGGGGGTCTAATGGGGCATATTTCTGAGTAAACGTGCATAAAGGTAAAGGTACCCCTGACCGTTAGGTCTAGTCGCAGACGACTCTGGGGTTGCGCACTCATCTTGCTCTATAGGCCGAGGGAGCCGGCGTTTGTCCACAGACAGTTTTTCCGGGTCATGTGGCCAGTATGACTAAGCCGCTTCTGACGAACCAGAGCAGCACACGGAAACGCTGTTTACTTTCCCGCCGGAATGGTACCTACTTATCTACTTGCATTTTGATGTGCTTTTGAACTGCTAGTTGGACAGGAGCTGGGATCAAACAACGGGAGCTCACCCCATCGCAGGAATTCGAACCGCCGACCTTCTGATTGGCAAGCCCTAGGACCACAGTGCCACCCGCGTGGTGCTGTGCATAGGATTGTGCTATTTGTCCTGTAACAAAATGTTGCAGCATGGAGAGCTGCTGTTCAGAGCTCCAGACGCTCAGTTCCATCCTGCTCCTCACACCCACCGGTACCCCCTAAAAAAACCCAAAACTTGTCAGCATTCTGTGACTGCTGAGTATGCTCAGTCCTTGCTGAGTTGTTTTAGGGGCTTTCTTTTCTGGTGATTTCCTTATACTTCTGCAAACCTTAGAATTCCCCCAAACTCGTTGATACCTACTTAATTGGGTGTGGGAGGTGTCACTTTCAGATACATAAGCCTTGGCACAAAGTGCCTGAACATCAGAAACAGAATGAATTATGGGCATTTACAGAAATGCCCTTTGTTTTAACATGCCAAATAATGTTTAGGTGTTTTGAACATTTTTTCTAACTGAACTTAGATCCAACCTGATGCATGGTTTTTATTTTTGGACTTGAAGACTGGTAAAGGAACTTGCTACTTCAAACTCAGAATGGTGCAGCATTGTGACAAATATATCCCACCCAGAGTTGACAGCCAAGTGAAAAAGAAAATGAAACAGCGTTCCTGGTAATAGAAGGGTGCAGTCCAGAAGCATTAAAATCAATGAGATTTTTGCCCTTGGGGCATCACGTGTAAGAATAACACAATATGTCATATTAAAAATATTTTTTTTAAGGAAGTGGGGAAAGATGGAGAAAATAAACACATACTGAGGGAGGCCAGCAGTGGTTCTTCTAAAAAGAATTGTTGGTGTTTTCAGAAGATTTTTTTATTTTTATTTTTTGTGTGAAGGGGGTTTTGTTTTCCAAAGCAAAACAGGCAATAACCATTGTTTCTTGTATGAACAGCATCAGAAAACCCAAAATCAGGAAGGAGCTCTGTGCTTCTTTCTGTTTTTCCTATAACATTGCAAAAGAAATATTGACAGCCGAAGAGAGGCAGGAGGGAACTTTTCACTTGTGCAAGTTAATTATTTGACAGTTGCAACATCAAATTGATGACCTGCGTGCATGAAACGCATTTGTGCGGCAACACAGATCAAAATGCTATGAATAGAACTTTTGCATAATTGTATGTCACCTCAGATGCGATGCACTTCAGTGGAAGCATGCCAGCCATGCAAACCCCAAGGCATTAACAGCACGATCCTATGAGTTTCTGCTCAGATGCAAGTTCAATAATAATAATAATAATAATAATAATAATAATAATAATAATAATTTGTTTATAGCCCGCCCTTCCTGGTTCAAAAATCGGGCTCAGGGTGGCTAACAACAAATTTAAAGCACTTAATTGTAAAAGCAGCATAAAATACAGTATGAAAACATGAATAACAATAAAATTCAAAGTTCAAAAATCAATTTAGGGGAAATCCATCCAATAAGCATTAGATAGTCACCAGGGCTAGCTGGCTGAATTAGTCCTACCTGGGCGAGCGAGGAGGCCAGGGGAGAATTAGCTATGGGGTCTCAGGGCGGGTAATCTTCATAAAAGGGGAGGGAGAGGGAAGAGAAATAAAAGATCAGGCTGAATTCAAATTAAAGGCCAGGTGGAATAGCTCTGTCTTACAGGCCCGACAGAAGGAGGTTAAATCCTGAAGGGCCCTAGTCTCATGGGACAGAGCATTCCACCAGGTCGGAGCCATCACTGAAAAGGCCCTGTCCCTGAGTTCAATGGACCTTAATCCTACGTTGGAGACTAGGAGCCCAAGTGATGACATTTCAAATTGCCGTTTCAATCAGCCCAGAGACATATAACTAGCAAGCTCTGCACTGACGCATGCAACAGCAGAACCTGGGTGCCTGCAGCTGCAGGTGTGATGGCAGGGCATTCCAATTACAGACAGCGGTGATGCACTAGGCCAATATTTCAAGGGTGAGTCATGATTACAGCAAGCACTGATATTGTTCAGGAGTTTAGAACCCAGTGAGTACTATGTTGTGTTCAGGATGCCACTCTGGAAGCAACCTGTGTAAAGGATACAGAGTGAATGTAATACAACCACCGTTGCCTGGATCAGCAGGCAGTGGTTCTGCTCCAGTCTGAAGAAGCTACAGGCAAATGGGAAGCAGGACATTGAACGCAATAAATCCAGCCTTGTGGCTGTCAGGGCATGAGACACATACGGGCAGAGCCCAAGCTGCACACAGAGGAAACCTACCTTGGAGCTGTGTGTGAAATCTCATATTTCATAAAAGAAGATGATAATGTTCCTTTACTGAGCCTCTAAATTCTCCCTAAGCCTCATGGGCAGAGGCTCAAGAGAACACAGAGCATTCTCATCAGGTCCTACCAGTTGAATACAAAATAGCTCTGGCATGCCTCCTTTCGTCACTGTTGCCTCCAAAGCTTCTGCTACTCAAGTCTCTTTTGGCTCCAAACCAGGGCCAGCCCTATCACGAGCCACGATGAGCCACGTGGTTCAGGTGGCAAATTGGAAAGTGTGGCAGATGGCCTCCAACTGCCTCCAACTGCCTGCTCCTGCCATCACAGGACACTGTCCCCACAGCCACCAACAGCTCACCCTCCTGCCAGCTACAGGTAGCAGGTTTCAGTCAAGATTGTAGGCCCAGGCTTCTCTCTGAGGAAGGAGTCCTTCCTTCAAGTGAGATTAGTGGCAGGTGCCAGTCGAGAGTGCAGGCCCAGGCCTCTCTCTGAGGAGAAGTCCTTCCTTCAAGTGAGATTAGTGGCAGGTGCCAGTCGAGAGTGCAGGCCCAGGCCTCTCTCTGAGGAGAAGATCTTCCTTCAAGCAGGGGCGCCAACCTGCCCCCCACATTGGGGTGTATGTGTGTGTGTGCATCACTTGACGCATCATGTGATGTCATGTGACACATCCCGCCCAGTGCACAAGTGTTTGCCCACTAGGCCAGGCTGCGATGTGCGGGCATCCTTTCCCCACCGCTGTGATTCCGGTGCTTGCACGCCGGGTGGGAAATGGAGAGCACGGAGCTGGGCTCTGGGTTTGGCCTCCTTCTCCCCATGGCATGCACCTGGGTCATGGCAACTAGTACATGCCCAGCAAAGTATTTGGTGGGGGCAGCAGAGGACACGACAGCTGGTAGTACACATCAAAACAAGCTACGTGGAATTAGTTGCAAAGAGATTCTGCATAGCGTTGCAGGTCTGAAGTTTCGTCAAGGTGATCTCAAGATGCTATAAATGCTGGGAGCAGAGGCCATGAATTTTAAATACCCCTCCTTGCAGACGGCTTGCTTGCCAACTGCCAAGAGGGACTTGAAATTACAGCCTCGGGCCTGAAATAAGATGCTATCCTGGCGTGTTGCCATTCTCATGCTAATCTTTGTCATGAGGAAAGATAAAATATGCCATGTTCCAGTCTTGCTATTAAAATAAAAAGGAATTCAGTTTTTTTGTGTTCCATCTTCAGTTTTCATCCCTATCACATTGCTATCAGATTGAATTATCACTAAAAACTTGGTGGGGGCCTTATAGATCTTTGTTCTCACTGTCTGCTCTCACTCACTTTGGCAGCCAAGATTGCTAGAGCAGAAAATAGCACGCCATTAAGCCAGTCCACGGGTGGTATTAGAACTAAAGAGGTTTAATATGACGCAGAGTAGTGATGGGAAATCCGTGGTCCTCTGAATATTGCTGGAGTCCAGCTCCCATCAATGGACAAGTATGAGGGGAATTTGTAGTCCAACAACCTATGGAGGGCCAGAGGCTCCCCATTTCTGAAATATAGCAAGAACAGGGAATGTGATGCTCGCTAGATGTTGCTGCAACTCTCATTCTCCCTAACCACTGAGCATGCTGGCTGGGTCTGATCGGAACAGGTTGACCAGCAGTTGTCCTTATGTGGCCCTGAGAAGTAGCCCAGCTGTTCAAGGGTACTTCACATTATTTTCATTGTACTTATAACCATTGTGTCTGGTGAAAGGTCATTTTCCAAGGTGATGTTGAGCATATATAGTTGTTGGCATCTGTCTGTCTTGAGAGACAATGGAGTGAAGTCAACCCAATGTGTTTGCAGTAGTGAAGTGACCTCCCCAGGAGTGGAGGAGTGTGTATGGAGGTCCTGGGCTGCCCAGATGGCAAGACTCTTGCTCTCGCTGATGTGGTTCAAAGGAAAGAAGAGCAATACGTTTGGCCCCAGCTTGGCTTCAGGAGTGGATGGAAAGAGGCATACAAGGCACCATGCAACCATCTTAGGGACTCCACACCAAGTGTGCCCACAAGATGTTGCTGAATGACAGCTCCCATCAGCCCCAGCAAGCATGGCCAATGGGATGGTGAGAGTTGTAGTTCTGCAACATCGGGAGCCCGGAAGATTCCCCTAGAATCTTCTGTGAGATTAGTTAGGCTGAAAGACAACAGCTTGTGCAAGGTCACTCAGAGAGCTGCATGGATGAGTCAGGATTTGAACCCTGGCCTCCCAGCTCCTAGTCTAACATGCTAACAGCTACGTTACTCCAGCTCCTGAAGTCTGGGAACAAACAATGTGAAAAGGCTACTTCCCATATTTTTCTGTGTATAAGACTAGCTTTTTTTAACCAAAAAGTTAGGTTTAAAATTGGGGCTTGTCTTATACACGGGTAGTGCTGAGGGGTGTTTTCTTAATTTGGAGTCCCCCAAAATAGGGGCAGTCTTATGCATGGGGGCGTCTTATACCTGGAAAAATATGGTACCTTTGTGCCTGGATTGTGAGACAGGGGTGAGGAACTTCTGGCCCCTCTAGATACTGTTGGACCCCAACTCCCATCAGCCCCAGCCAGCACAGCCATTGGTCAGGGATGATGGGAGATGTAGTCCAGAGGGCCACTGGTTCTCCACTCCTGCTGTAAGCTATCCGGTTTTCCAGTGTTAAAAACAAGATGGTGGACCAGACAGACCTTTGCAGGGCTCTTCCCATGTGGAATGATCCCTGGGATTTAGTGCATATTGACAGGTCATCAAGTACTGAAATACCATTCACATTCAAATACTGGACTGTCATTCAGATTAATTTAAATGGCAGTTAGATGGCATAAAAATCTGCCAAAAGCTGGGTGACAAATAGCAAATTCTGTCCATGTTTGGATATTTAGCACATACTTGAAATGTGCAGGGCAGGGTTTTGAGGAGAATGAATGGGAGCAGAGATGTTTCCAGCCAGTACCTCTTCTTCATCCGTTCTCCCAGCTCCAACCTGCAGGAGCACAAAGTGCGAAGCTCACAGGAGAGCATCTTTCCAAGATCTGTCATCTCCCTTTCAAGAAACTCTCTGAGCTATGTCCATTCCTCCATCCACATTTGTGACAACTTTGGGAAATGTATGAGTCTCCTTCCTGCTAGTGGCATTATAAATGGTAATGGGGAAATCACGTTACTCTCAGAATATAGCTTGCTGCTCTCCCCGCCACTATAAATTTCAGGGGAAATGACCTTTAATAACAGTGAGATGAGGAAGTTGGTTGCATTAATAAAGTTAGTCTCTGAGCTAGTCACGTGGCAGGTGCGTGTGAGCATAAGCTTCTTGCTCCAGGTGGTCCAAAACTTTGTAGCGCCTCCGTACTAAAACTAGAATTGACTCCGATCTCTGGATGGATAACCTCCACCTGTTAAGGGCCAAACTACCAAAAACAAAACAAAACAAAGAAAAAAAACCCTTAGGATGTTGTGGGACACATTAGGTTGCTTGTTTGTTTACTGTGCATGGTTCTTTACAGAGTGCAAATTGGTAATCCTGTCTCCCCCCATAGAGGCTACAATCCAAAATTCAACACAGAGTGAAACAGAGGCAGTGGTTGTTGGTGCCCATTGGAGCCAATAGGACAGAAAGAAGATGCAGCCAGTGTCAAAGAAAGTACAGCCACTCCATCACTGGTTGCAGGTAAGAAGGCAGGCAGGTGACAGTTGGCTGAAGCTGGTGGAGCATTGCCCCGTTCCCCCCAATGGACCAGCCTACTCTAAGGAAAGGGAGGTAAGTGGAGGCAGGGATAAGCAGGGCAAGTCATATTGCAGATGGGTGGGGGATGATGATGATGATGCAGTTGTTCCAGTTGAACAGCCTTGGGTTTTGCTACAGTGGGGCAAGGGAAACTGGGGGCAGGAAGCTGTGCCAAAGGCTTCTAACAAAAGATGGTGCCTGAGGTTGGATTTTGAAACACCAAAGGTGGTGGCATCACACCCCGTGCTGTGGGAGATGAATGAATGCATGAAATACTATCCATCAAGCCCACGCTTAGATTTTAAACCAGTAGCTATTAGGTGGTTTCATGTTACTGAGCATCCAGGAAATGCCGCTGAAAGTTTTTCCAGCAGTTAATAATCACACATCAGGCTATGTCCAGTACACCAACCATAAGATGCAGTTCAGATCCTGGTTTGCTGCTTGGGAATACAGCCCAATTTGTGTTTGGACCAATTTGGGAGCTACCTGATTCAGCTGGCATCCAAATCCTGATCTGGGAAAACTGAAGCTTTGTGCGTTTGAACATGGTTTCCCCACCACCACGACGCGGGTGGCACTGTGGGTTAAACCACAGAGCCTAGGACTTGCCGATTGGAAGGTCGGGGGTTCAAATCCCCGCGACAGGGTGAGCTCCCGTTGCTCGGTCCCTGCTCCTGCCAACCTAGCAGTTCAAAAGCATGTCAAAAGTGCAAGTAGATAAATACCTTCCAGCAGGAAGGTAAACGGCATTTGCGTGTACTGCTCTGGTTCACCAGAAGCGGCTTAGTCATGCTGGCCACATGACCTGGAAGCTGTGCACCGGCTCCCTTGGCCAATAAAGCGAGATGAGCGCCACAACCCCAGAGTCGACCATGACTGGACCTAATGGTCAGGGGTCCCTTTACCTTTACCTTTACCTTTACCCCACCACCACAAAATTGGGTTGAATGTGCTAGTATATTATCCCAACCTGAGTGGATAAAGCTGACCAAATTCCAGATAAATAGATCCAGGGTTTTTTGTGCTAGGCACGTTTAGAGTTGTCTTTCTTTATTTATAGGAGCCATATATAACTTTTAAAAATGGCTAAATGAGATGAAATTTGCAGGCATGATACCACCTTCTGAGGGGATGAATACTGCCAAATTTTAGTGGTTTTCCTTAAAGGGCTGCCTTTACTGTTTTAGGTTGGTTAAGCTAGGGCTAACTTTGGGTGCTACGCTGGTGATGATGTGCACATTAGCTAAATAGAGACATCAAAAGCATTTCAGAATTCCCAGTGTACCTCTGAACCTGGAGCCCACTAGCCACTTCCATGTGTGGTATCCCTCATTCACATTTGGGGGGGGGGCAAGCCCTATACATAAATCCCTTAGCACATTCAGAACTTTTCCCTGTCGCTGTAGATTTTATCTCCCCTCTGAACTTTAGATATCTATTTCAACATGCCACTGCTTTACCAACTCTGTTATAGGAACTGTGAAAAAGAAATATGGATCCTAGGAAACCTCTCCCAGGTTTTTTATAAGTGCACGAGATAAAACGGATAACATGGGGTCTCAAGAGTAATGTGTGTTTTTATCAGCAAAAAAAAAAGGGGGGGGAGAAAAAGACAGAAAGGCTTAAGGCATCCGAAAATTCATGGAAATCCTTGTCAGAAACCACACAATGCAATTGTTAAAACGGTAGCGTGAAGTTTGCTTGTATTACCATATCGACAGGCACCTTCCATTTGACAACTCTTTTGCTGCCATGTCGCTTTTTACAAAGAACAGAGGGTTAAGTATCGCATGCATACGAGCATACAATATTGCCTTCTACAAAGTCAGGTCTGCCTTGCCCCACAGACTGTCAGTGTGTGCCTTCCACAGGTTGTTGTACTACATCTCCCATCATCTCTGCTCTTGGGACATGGTAATGTGGGATGGAGTCCAACAGCAGTGGCTCCCTAATTCCACCCTGACCTGGACCACTTGAAAATCGCTGAGGGTCTTGGCAGAGCTTTCCAAACTGTGTCACAACACATTAGTGTGTCAGCTGCAGTGTGTAGGTGTGTCGCGCAAATGCTCCCCGCGCTCCTTCCAGGGCTGGAAAGGGGTTAGTTTAACCTTTGGTTTGCTATCAAAACTGAATTACTATGCCATGAAATGATTCATGTCTCCAAAGTATGTCACCAACATGAAAAGTTGGGAAAGCTCTGACTTAATAATTTTTCTGCTGGTTGTTTAGCAACTGTAATGTGTTGTGCTATTTTTAAAAAATTATATGGGGTGGTATTCAACTAGGTTTTACTCAGAGAAAACCCACTGGAATTAAGGGACCTAACTGCACCATGCTCATTAATTTAAAGGGCCCTACTGTGAGTAAAACAGAGATGACTATCAACCCCTACAGCTATGCCTTGAGCAACTGATTGACATGTTGGCTGCACTTTTCACTGAAAAGTTTCAACCAGGGGTCAGCAAACGTTTTCAGCAGGCGGCTGGTCCACTGTCCCTCAGACCTTGGGGGGGCGGACTATATTGGGCGGGGGGAATGAACAAATTCCTATGCCCCACAAATAACCCAGAGATGCATTTTAAATAAAAGGACACATTCTACTCATGTAAAACATGCTGATTCCTGGACTCTATGAGGGCCAGATTTAGAAGGCAATTGGTGTGGATCTGGCCCCAGGCCTTAGTTTGCCTACCCATGGTTTCAACAGTTGGCTTCTGCACATCAAGGAGCACTAGCAAAGTTCCCAGTCATGCCAGCCCACCCTGCTATCAGCTAACAAACCTAGGAAGACTGCAGTCCACCCCTGGCTGACCTCCAACAGACGATCTAGCATATCCTGGCTCCTAGGACTATTGCCAAGAAATCTGGATCAAGCAGACCTTGGTTTCAATGCAATAAAATATAATTAGATATATAAGAAGCAAAGAAGAGAATAAAAATAAATGAAATGAAATAAGTAAATAAGATAGAGCCGCTGCTGCAGACCTCCTGAACGAAGCTCACAACCATCAGTGGTCAACAGAACATACTTTGGGAACTCCTGATTTAGAAGGCAACAAGTTGAGCACCCCTGACCTAGCCCACTGCTGCCCCCTCCAGCTGGCAGCTGCTGGCAAAAGTCAATCCTGTCATCTGCTACCTGAGCCTGTTAACACTAGGGTTTGCCCCTGGAAATTCCTGTATGCACAGCATGTTGTCTGTGCCCCCAACCCCTGCAAAATGGGGGGGGGATGCAGCCAGGAATGGAGACGATGCAACAGAGGAGAGTGGGGTTCGGGGGAAATGGCAGTAGTCAACAGCAAATTGAAACTGATGCAACTGAGTAGGAAATGGGTGCAAGAGATAATTCCTCGGCAAGGGCTTGGGGGAGGACAAGAGCCTCATTGCACACCTGAGCCTTGCCTCTTGCGATCTTACAGCTTGATCCTGTCCACTGCCAAGAAACCTTTGTCACAGTTGCTGGTTTGTGCCACAGCTCTCTCCCCAGTCACCACCATACAGAATGAGAAACCCATCCCATAATGTTCCTAGCTGGTGCAAGATTGTGTTACCTCCCCAGATTTATTTTTATTTTCTTTCATATGCTTATACACTGCCCCCCCCCCCCACTTACAAATGCCCTTTACATTCCGCTTTTGTGCTTTTCCCAAAGCACAGGCGAAGTAGCAGTACTGGAACCTGGAGCAGCAGCGCTGAATATATAAAATAGCACTAATAATATTATAGCCTGCTAAAGAGTTTGATTTGCATGGAGTGCATCTGTCACCGAACAGCACTTGGTATTTGCAAGCCCTTTCATTCTCTCAACCTCACAAGTTCCATAGGGAACAAACAGACACGAACTGATTTCCCCTGCCTCTTCCTTTCTTATACGCAGGCTGGTGCGCATTCTGCGTTTTGCAGTGGGTCCAGAGAGATTGTTTCCACCAACGGTCGGCTTAGGGAGCTGCGCATCTGTCCCCTTCGCTCCTCATAAGACTTAACCGAGACTTGCCAGTGAAACCACGCTTTGCTGTCTCTGTGTGCAGATACATGAGAAGCCTCGAATTTCCATATGAATTGTATCAAGCATTTGAAAACACGCCAGCTTGGGTTTGGGGCGGAAATGTGAATAGATATTCACTCAGCACTATAAAGTCATCCGCAGAAGGTTCTGAGTGTAGCAATAAATCATGCCTTTAAACAAATAATTGACTAGTTAAGAATCGGTAACCATTTATCAAAGGATCAATTACCCATTTAAGAAGGCAGTCGTACACAGAACCTTAATAAGCCTCCTGCAAACTGGGGAAAAAACTGACTAAACGGGGTGGGTGTGAGGAATAAGGAGCAGAGAATTGACTTGCAGAAAAAGGGTGATGGTTGTTTATATTTTATACTGAGCCATCAGTATACCTGTCTTCTTAGAATTTTATATAGGCAGCATCCCGTTAAGCTTTTACAATCTACATTAGGCAATGTGGAAAGAGAGGGAGGAAAGGAAACAGATTTGGAAATGACCCTGTCAGAGGTTGTCTGCAGCAAACCCATTGCTACAATATCCCACAAAAGATCCTAATGAACTAAAGTCCATCACCTTCCGAGGGGTTCTGCTCCACTGTCAAACAACTTGGACCATCCAAAAGTTCTTCCTAATCAATGTTTAGTTGGGAAAAAAAAACCCTTTTTTGAGGATATGCAAACTTTAGCAATGCAGAAAAGTCTCCACTGGCACAAACGGGAGCATTTCTTCCAGTTCAAATATGTGATGCAGGTTCTCCAATCGATATGAGAGCCACAGGAGGAAGCAAAAATTCCCTTCCCATTAAGAAGCAGTGGAGATGGAATAATAATGAACTACAGCATGCAGCAGAATCGTACAGTAGCTGCATTTTCCAAACTCGTCAAATGCAATCAACCCTAGTTGATAACAATGGGAGGAATTCAACGTTGCAAACTTCAGGTTGCTCCATTGCAAGCCAGATGGAATGACCCCTCCTCATCCCTCATGCACTGTTCTGGGGGTACTCCCAACCCCTCCCCATCTTTATTTGGGGCTGGAGTGCAGTGGGAGGAGAGGAGGGAAGCCTTGCTGTGCAAGTGGAAGTCCTTGCCCAGGGTTTCCACTGACGGGACTCATTAGTTGAATAGTTTAACCTGAACATGATAGTGGCCTGATTTGCCATCTCCAGAAAAGGCCTCAGCTGGCTCTCTGCCAAAGCTACCAAAAAGCACTCTGGGCCACAGTCAATGTCTGATCATCCAGAAATAATGCTGGGTCTAGAAGCATTCCCGAGCTGCAGATCTGATTATCAAGGGGAGGGCAATCCCCTCCCAGACAGCCTGCATGCCAAATCCTGTATCCACTTTGCTGCTGACAAAAGGATCTCTCTCTTATAAGGATTAGATCTCAGCTTGTTAGCTCATCATTGCCTGCAGACACAAGCTCAAGAGCTCTGCCACCTCCCCAGAACTTGATGGAAGGATAGAAGCGGGTGTCATCAGAATATTAATTGCAACATGCTTTGATTCAGGGGGGGAGGAACCCTCTAGTAGTTTCATGTAGGCATTTGTAGATGTACTTGGAATCATTCAGATAGACCAGTATGGCACAGTGCAGCAGAGTGTTAGTCACAGGCTGAGGAGACCAAGGTTCACATCCCCGGTAGGTTCACGGAGCGAGCTTGGGCTTAACCTACCTAACTGGGTGGAAGGGGAGGAGTTGTATATCCAGGGTTGGCCCTTCCATGAGGCAGAGTGAGGCAGCTGCCTCAGGCAGCAAATTTTGAGGGGAGGACAGTGGCTAGAAATGTGTGCCCTGTAGCCCCCAAGCTACCTTGCTGCTCTGGGGTGCGGTGGAGAACTCTAGTCCATCACGAGTGCTGAAGTACGATTCAACTACAGTAGTACCTCGGGTTAAGAAATTAATTTGTTCCGGAGATCTGTTCTTAACCTGAAACTGTTCTTAACCTGAAGCACCACTTTAGCTAATGGGGCCTCCCACTGCCGCTGCGCCGCTGCCTCATGATTTCTGTTCTCATCCTGAAGCAAAGTTCTTAACCCGAGGTACTATTTCTGGGTTAGTGGAGTCTGTAACCTGAAGCATCTGTAACCTGAAGCGTATGTAACCCGAGGTACCACTGTACCAGGTTTTTGTGCACAGAATGGGGAATACACCATTTTGTCCTGAATCTCAAGCGGCAAAATGGCTTGGGCCATTCCTGTGTTATATATCTCTCTTGAATTCTTTGGGTGCAATTCAGATGTAATTCACAGAAGAATCAGGGTACTGCCTGCAAAACAGGAAATAAGTTTATCCGAAAGTGCAAGGGTGAAGTTATGAGGCTGGTTTTTATACCCAGACTTCATATACCAGTGAGATGATGATTTAGCTGCTGAATGAGCAACAAGGCCCAGGGAATGAAAAGGGAAGTCAAAGAAACCCCAAATAGAAACAAGGTGCACATTCTGTTAGTTTGAGTGCTTCTGGATCTCTTATGTGGGGTTTCTCCTTGCTGGAACTACAAGCCAAATGAAAAGTTATGTGTTTAACTTATAGTTGAACTTTGGATGCAATAAAAAGCTGAGTGAACTATGAGAGCAAAGACACGGAAGGGAGGGGACAGTGGGGGGAACTTCTGGTACGTTCTGTACCAGAAGCTATAAAAATATTCATATTCATCTCTCTAATCCCGGCAGCCCATGATATATTGCTGGCATTAATCTATCGAGTTATAGCAGGTTTCAAACATCAGGAGTCACATGACCACATCTTTTTGTAAACAGCTACATTCTAAAGATGCATTGATCTGGCTCACTTTGTGAATATTTATCAGAATGTTCCCTTCTTCTCGGAGCACTTAATAACAATAATAAAGAAGAATGCCAACTTTGGCTGGCCTAAAATGTTCCAGAGCTATTCTTTAGGCTCACATTTAAGGAAGCCTATTTATAAAAACAAGCAGATTTGTCATCCTTTGGGGTATGAGGCTAACTTAAGAGCTTCCTGAAATCGCTATGAAACAAGATTATGCAGCGTAGCTAATACCAAAACATCTATCTTTGTGGTTTTCTAGATTGGGTAGTAATTGTGTTCAAATAAGTAAATAATAATAACAAGGCTCAACTGTTTAGCTGCCCAGAGTGGCTGGGGCAACCCAGTCAGATGAGCAGGGTATGAATAATGAATTATTACTAATACTATTATAACTTAGATATCTTGTTTCTTGAGGTGAAGGAAAAAATGGCAGCCTTTCCCGATCCACATCCAGATGTTGACTGAACTGGCACCTGCATCTCAACTCAGTACTTGCAGTGATGTTGTGTCCTCCATCACACTTGAGGCAGTAGGCTTGTTTATGGGGACAAAGACATGCCATGTAGAATATACAGCTCTACCCTCCAACAGAGGGGAATGGTCAGAGGGCTCAGGAGGACCTAAGCATTGCCACCTGAGGTGATCGCCCCACTTTGCCTAACGGTAGGGCTGGCGCTGCTGAGATTAGTTTACTTGCCAGTTTTCTACCACCCCACCAAGATTCCAAAACTTTCATGGGCTCATTGTGCTTTATGACACATCTTGTTTAATTAATTATTTAACAAAATTTATATACTACTTGATTATACTAAAACCTCTAAGCCGTTTACAAAAAAACAAAAAACCCAGACATTAAAATTATCAATAAAAGACGGTTAATAACAGGTATTTAGAAACATTCAAAGATCAGTAAAATCAACAGTAAGCTAAAAATATGTTTTTAAAACACAGAACATCTTAAAACACAGGGATGGGAGAGACACAGAGAAAGAATATATAGTTGATAATAGCATAAAATAGTTGTATTAAAAGCAATTGTAACAGAGAGATATAATCACCCAATACTTGTTTATCCCTGATCACCAGTGTAATTTTTTGTGTTTTCACTAGATTATGGCTGCTTTCACATACTTACTTTGCTGGGAGAAATTGCTATTGAGCTATTAATTTGCTTCCAGGGAGATTTCCCCCCTGAAATCTTTTTCCTGTTTATGTTGAAAACTTGTTATCAATAGGTAGCAATGGCTGATATAGGACAGTTGTTTTCCTGGTTTCTTATATATGAAAATCTATTTATTTAAATTTTTTATTTTATCTTGTTGCATATGAATCCCACCATGACAACATTTATCATCACCATCAGATTTCTAACCTTATGTTCCTATACTCACAAACCGGATGCAGGCCAGCTTAGTTTCAGCAACATGATAGCCTTATAAGCCTTCAGACCATATACTGGGTGGTCCATAATTTTAAATTTAGTACCTCCTTTGATACCTGGGTGGAATCTACACACATATAAAAAAACACTGTTATTTTTTTAAAAAAAAGTTTTGAAAAATATATTGAATTTGCCATAGCTCACCATCGCCATCTAGTTTCACATTTGTATATTGCACTTTACAACACACTTAAAACATTTTATTTGTAGCTGTATAGCTGAGTCCCAGGTCACCCATGTAAACTATATGGGCTTCAAGGCAGGGACAATCTTCTGCTTGTGTTAAGCTATAAAAATCCACGTATTGATGATGTTATTCTAATTCTTCTCCCATTTATCAGTAGGAGTCCAGAAGCAAAAAAAAAGGGGGAGGCAGGGCTTATGCACCTTTAATAGCCAAGGAGAAGATGGAATTTTAGCAAATACAGAAGCTTTTTTGGCAAGACAAAGTCACGTATCAGTTTGTTACATCGTTTTGTAGTCTCTGGGTGAGGCCAAGTGCAGGAAAGGATATGTTTTTTTCATATTTGAAACTGGTTTCATTTTACGACTTTAGGAGTCTGTAGTTATTTTCTGCAAATGGGCTCCAAATGAAGATTTATATATCATTTTATTTAAATCAATAGCACTTGAATGCAGTTTTGATTCATTATGCCCACATGGTCGCTTTAAATTCCAATATTTCGTGTACCAGCAAAACAAGGACAATCACCGGTAAAGGACAGCAAGGCAGTTTATTCTTTATCCATATCTGCAGAAAACAAAGTCATACAACTAAACAGCCACTCTGGCCTTTGACTCCCGATTTCTATCCATACTATCAGATAACATTTCCTTGAGATTCAGTCTAACCTTTAAATCAG